ACTTAATACATAGGTCTGGCCAGCAAAAAAAAAAGGTATTGTTAATTACTTTAAAGAATAAAGAAAGCACTGGGCACAGTGGCTCATGCCTGTAATCCCAACACCTTGGGAGGGTGAGGCATTCATATCACTTGAGGTCAGGAGTTCAAGACCAGCCTAACCAACAATATGAAACCTTGTTTCTACTAAAAACATAATAATTAGCTAGGCGTGGTGGCGAGTGACTGTAATCCCACCTACTTGGGAGGTTGAGGCAGAAGAATAGCTTGAACCTGGGAGGTGGAGGTTGCAGTGGGTGGAGACAGCATCACTGCACTCCAGCCTGGGTGACAGAGCAAGACCTTGTCTCAGCAACAACAACAAAAAGGAAAGAATAAAGACAGTAACCGTGCCCAATCTCAAAAGCCAACCTTCAGGCTGAGAAGTGAGAAAGCCTACCCTCCGTACAAAAATGAAACCAAAGAAAAGAATTTTAAATTCTCATTGAAACAGCTGTACATGAGTTTTGGTTAGTCAAGTTTTAATTGCAAACTTTAAGCAACAATAAAGACAGCAAACACAATTCTTCGGCCTGGAGAAGAAAGAATAACAATAGCTGTATGCACTTAAACCAACAGGGAAGTATACAGTGTTCCTAAAATTTATTTCTTAGCTAGAATTTGTGTTTAGCTTGGTTTTGTGGCTGCCTTTGCAGCCTGTATGTGCAGGGCTTTATAAACACTCTTCAGGGATCCTGCCTCCCCATAGCATCAATCAAATTAACCAAGTAGTCGTCAAAGTCCGTTTGGAAAGCCCTATGTGGCCCAAACCAACTGCAGGCAAACCACGTGGCCACAGGAGCCGTGCCATTTCCTCCTCAGTCACCTCACTCCTGTGGCCTCCGGCCTGGAGACGGTGTCCAGCCTCTCAATTTACGGGAACCCCTTGCCCACCTCCAATGAGTGGGTATGCAAGGCCATATTTAGCTCAACCTACACATACTTCACTTTACCCAGCCAGGTAAAGCCAGACACCAAGTGAGCACAAAGAAGAAAGGGCTTTCTGTCTCAAGTATCTGTCTGTGTGAAGTCAGTGGCCACTTTGGTGCCTACGTGTCAAATTCTTCGGGTGTTTAATTTAGAGGTGGAAAATACAGGCATCTAACTCTAGCAAGCAAAATTAAGGAGGCCATGATATTTCATGGCAAGAAAATAAAACCATTTGAAAATAGATATATATATATATGTATGTGTGTGTGTGTGTGTGTGTGTGTGTGTGTGTATATATATATATATACATGCATACATACCATATGTGCATGCGTGCTCAATGAGGGTATGGCTTGCTGCCAAACATTAAGAAAAGTTTTAAAAATTTATGATGCTGGGAAAAAGTATACAAAGACATAAATCTTGCATTTTTCTCCCAATTGCTAAACTATCAGAATGGACATGCAAATCTTCAATACAGTTTAATCCTAGGAATTTTGAGGTTAACAGAAAACCTAAAATTAGCAACGACTTCCAGAAAACATATCAGAATATGACTGAATATTTGGTCAATGCTAACTGTAGTAATGACAATGATGACAAACTCGTTGTGACCGTCATTTCCAGAGTGTACTCCCATGCAAAAAGAGCTGTGATAATGACTTTACATTGAGAGGTTATTGATTCGCACAAACTGATGAGGTAGCTAGTCTTCTTATCCCCATATTAAAGATAAGAAAACTAGGCACAGCAAGAGTAAGCAATCTCAAAATCACACAGCTGTGAACTGGTAGAAGAAGGAATGGATTCCAGGCCTATGTAACTCTAGACTGAAGAATGAAAAGAAATGGCCACTGATATGCAGTCTCCCCTCTGAAATGGGAAACGGGAAAGGAACAAAATCTAGTTCTAGACAAAGAAATAAAATTGGAAAGAACTCAAGAAATTTCTGGATAATTGAGGCCTCCCAGGAATCAACATCACCTACAATATCAACATAATTTTGGCAATATGAAGTTTTTGCGTGATTACAAATGACTTTGAATTTGTTTGCAGTATAGAAGGAGCCATTTGAAAAGTTGAAAACCCAATCGGTGTATTATTTATATGATGCTTAAACACTAGCTTGGTTCATTTCAAATTAAAAAATCATGTGATCTAGGGGAAAAAAAGATAAGGTTACAAAACATACCAGACTGTTCCCATCGCCATGCACATCATCCCCCTTTTAAGTAGTGAACTTGGAGGCTGTGACCTACTCCAAAGATGTAGCCTTTACTCCATGACATTTTGGGAAACAGCTTTGGAACCATCTTCAGAATTAGGCACAATATCCTGCCAGCAGCATAACTTTATACCCACATGTTTTTTAAAACCAAGTCTGGAGAATAAAGCTGCTGATCAAATAGAAAATGCTGGTTTTAGGTAAGAACATGTGATAACAAAAGAGTAAGATCTCTTGCATGGCTTTCAAGGTGGTCAGAGGAGTTCCAGAAAGCTTTTGAGTAATAGTTGCCATGCTGGGAAGTGAATATGAGTTCCACAGGGTGACAGCTGAGAAGAAAAACATGCATTTGAAATGTGAGTGCCAAAAACTAGACTACTGAAGATGGTGGCTGTGAGGTAGTCCTAGTGCTTACACAGGCTTAGTGTTCTCTGCACGGAGCCCGGCACACAGCAGGTGACTGACCACTGCACATTTGCTGAATGGCTCAATTACTCCATCCATCTGTCAATTAGACAATGAACAAACTCTTGGCTAGTAAGAAAATTCTTTGCTCACATAATCGCTATTGGTCAAGACCTAAACACTCAGAAAAAGTATGGCTTCACTTAGAGAACCAAAATATGAAGAAAAAGTTGCTCTGAGAACCTGCCAGCTCATTTTTCCACCTTTCTGAACATTTTTCCAGTCTGCAGACCATGTGCCCTACATGTGTGCATAAAGGGTGCCTGCCACACAAGGCCATTGCTCTGAGGGCAGGGTGGAAATTAGGTTTACTCTGGCCCCTTTGTTATGCTGCCCTCCATGCTCTTCAGACAGCCATTCCAAGCAGCTTCCAATGAGGAAGGTACCCCCTGCAGCTTCAAGGAGAAATGAAAAACAGCTAGGGTAGATGAACAGTAATGCACATCTTCAACTGCCAACAAGAATGCCTCTTGCAGGTAATCTCTGTTCAAATAAACGCCATGACAAAATCTAGATGGTGCATCTTTTATTCATTGTTGGCCTGATTATTCAGCTATTCATTCATCCACTTTTATGAATAATTAATAGTTAATTTTTATCTTATTACCTATCGGGCACAGAAAAGACACAGGTCCTCACTTTGAAGGAGGTCTTCCTTGAGTCTCAGGCAGAACATACACTCCTGTTCTCTCCTGAGCCTGCCGTACACAGTGATTGGCATTGGCACTTTTCTCTTCCCTCCAAGACACAGCCTCAGTCCTTCTCTCCTGCCTGCTGAGCAGCCACTACCAATCCTTAGAACTGCTACAGAAGCTTCTTTGCAACACTGCTCACTTATTAATAATTCATTTATTCAGTTAGTGAAAAAGTATTTATTGAATGTCTACCATGGGCCAACTCTGTTTTAGATACATAAGATAGTCCTACATTCTAGGAGAAGGGATGATGGACAAAGTGCCACTGTGCTCATTACAAAGACAGATAAACAAGTATACAAATAACTATACATTATTATTTTAGGCTGTGATATAAATGAGGAAGAAAGATAAAGACAGAAACATAAAGAAAGACAAGAACTACTATTAGAAAGAGCATTCAGAGAAATCCTCTCTGAGAAAATGGCATGGGAGCAGAAACATATATGAAATGAAGAAGTAACTCACACACATATCTGAAGAAAGAACCTTCTAGCCAAGCGATCCGCTTGTACCAAGACCCAAGTGCAGGGAGGGTTTGAAGTCTGGAGTGCTCAAGCAGATAATGAGGGAATGATGGGAAAACAACAAGGGGGTCCCAAAGAGAGCCAGGGCCAACGGCACAGGGCACCACAGGCTATGGTAAGTAAGGTCTTTGCAGAGTAAATGCGGAACAACAACATGACATCATCAGCATTGGCATCCTAGCAACATCATCATGACGTCAGCCAGCATTTACTCTGTGCTGGATGCTGTTTTCTAAATGACCACACAACACTAGGAGGCTACTAACATCACCTGAAACTTAACAACCTTGTTGCACAACACATGCTCATAAGTGACAGCATCAGGAGTCAATCTAGAAGCCAATGATCCTAACCTGTATGGTAAAAACATCCCTTGGAAAAGCAATTACAGGCTGGGTGTAGTGGCTCACATCTGTAATCCCGGAATTTTGGAAGGCCGAGGTGGGAAGATCACTTGAGGTCAGGAGTTTGAGACCAGCCTGACCTACATAGTAAAATCTTGTCTCTACTAAAAATACAAAAATTAGGTGGGCATGGTGGCACAGGCCTCTAATCCCAGCTACTTAGGAGTCTGAGACAGGAGAATCGCTTGCATCTGGGAGACAAAAGTTGCAGTGAGCTGAGATAGCACCACTGCACACTCTAGCCTGGGTGACAGAGTGAGACCCCATCTCAAAAGAAAAAAAAAAGCAATAACAGCTCAACCTGGTAAAGAGATAAAAAAAATTCATGCCTATTCAAAACCTATAAAACAACCCCTAATGTTCTGTGAATAGAGGCTGTGGCTTTGTGCAAGACTCCAGACAGTGGGTCACACATGGGTTCCTAAATACTGGGGTCAAACCTCTCAGAGGGGAAGATAAGATGCAAGGAAGACTACACCAGTTGATGGAAAAGCACCTCTGTGGTGGGGGGGTCACTGACTGCTAGGCAGAGGAGGCTTTGGAGAGTTCGTGACATTGTTCCATGAAATACAAGAACAGAAAAGAGCAAATGTTGTGTAATAAGTGATTCTGAATGTAACTAAATTGATAACATAAATATCACAAGCAGACACCTTGACTGTTTCATCTCTGTAAGTTTCTATATTGAAACTTGAAAATTTCTCTTTGAGAAATAGATGATTTTATATTTGGAGTGGCTTATGTTTGGGTACATGAGATTATATTTACTGACTCATAAATGATAAGAAGAAATGGTCATCAGACCCAGGGATAGAGGCCCAGCCTTCAGCCTAGAAACACATGTAGGGAGCCCTAGCAATGCTGCAGGAGGTAACTTGGGTGGAAAAACTCAAGCTGCCTTTGCTTAGAAGGTTTATCTTTTAAACTTGGCTGCTTAATGCAACCTACCAAAAAATCCCTTTGGGCCCTATATCCACCATTTCCTCTAGTATGTCTTATGATTATGTCTTCATGGTTCTGTCCATTAGACAGGGCATGAGAGAGAAGCAAGAACCTAGCTTCGAAAAGCCATGAGGTTCATTCAGAGTCCAACATGATGGCTGTGGAACGAATGAGTAGATGAACAAAACTTTCATTTCAGAAGCATTTAAAATATAGAGCTATGTCCTTATTTTTATATGGTAAAAATAAGCTTTGAGAATTAAAAACATTACAGAAAAGAATGTCCTCCCTCAACTGCCATGTATCTCCTGGACTTCATAGCTATGATCTCATTCTAACTACTACTCTGCTCTCAATCATTGGATTCTAACATACACGTGGTCATTCCTATGAAGCAAAACTTTATTCTAAAGAACCAAGCAATAGTCAAGAATGACCTTAATTCGTCATTTTGAGTAGGAGGAAAATAACTTTGCAAGATGAGTAAAAGGGTAAAGCCATCATTAAGTCAGGTTAAGAGAGGTGCAGTTTATTCAGAAATCACAGGCCCATGTCTGAACAGACTTGAGCAACTAGGAGACATACATTCAAGGTTATATTGTTTAACTGTTAACATTTTTTTGTTGTTGTTTTTTTGAGACGGAGTTTCACTCTTGTTACCCAGGCTGGAGTGCAATAGCGCAATCTTGGCTCACTGCAACCTCCGCCTCCTGGGTTAAAGCAATTCTCCTGCCTCAGCCTCTTGAGTAGCTGGGATTACTTGTACCCGCCACCACGCCCAGCTAATTTTTGGTTTTTTTTTTTGAGACGGAGTTTCGCTCTTGTTACCCAGGCTGGGGTGCAATGGCGCGATCTCGGCTCACTACAACCTCCGCCTCCTGGGTTCAGGCAATTCTCCTGCCTTAGTCTCCTGAGTAGCTGGGATTACAGGCATGCGCCACTATGCCCAGCTAATTTTTTGTATTTTTAGTAGGGATGGGGTTTCACCATGTTGACCAGGATGGTCTCGATCTCTTGACCTCGTGATCCACCCGCCTCGGCCTCCCAAAGTGCTGGGATTACAGGCTTGAGCCACCGCGCCCAGCCGGCTGTTAACATTTTTAAATGTGTGGTTTTCTAATTTCTTATAAGGATCCTTTCACAGCCAAGAAAGTACAACCAAAATAGAAACAAGTCTGCTGGTAATGACACAGGGACGCTCTGTGCTGCATTTTCAGTCTGCATGATTGACTTTGACAGCATAACATGAGCCTAGAGTACTATATTTTACATTTAGCAGAAAAAAGGGTAAAATTGCATCCAAGTGACAATTAACAATGGATACTTTAAATATTTCAATTTTATATTTTAAACCTGGAATAATTTCCACATCTTCCCCAAAACATTCATCAATTTTTTTAATTTGTCAAATTCAGATTTGGAGCACAGCATAATGTGAGCTTGTAATTAGAAATCAATATGGATTCTGGAATCAAGAAATAATAGGTGAAAATATTACTGTACCTTTCATAAACATTTTTGTTTGCTTCATATCAACTTTATTAATGAGGTACAATTTTTTTAAAGTACATCAGAAGTAGAATTTTCTTGGTCAATCACTATAACAGAGCTGTCTTTCAATCAAGCAGCAGAGGCAATATAGGTAAATTTTGATTCAGCAAAGACAATATTATACTTTATAAAGTATCACTTCAGAATTTTTCCAAACTCAAACTCTAATCAAAGAAGTAATTGTATATGTCAGTTATCATCAGTAAGAATTGTGTACATCAGCATTTGCCGAAGTTCCATAAAATGCTAATATTTTGCAATGTTAATAAATGTTCTGGGGGAAAGAAAAAGACTTTTTTTGTCAAGTGATTTAGAGAAATTTTGGACTGAAGAACATCAAACATTTCTTTTGACTGTAGGACTCATCAGAGCCTTTAACATGTTAATATGCACAGTACTCTTGAAGTAAAAGAGTATGTATTGTTTTCCACAGGCAAATGAAACCCCTTTCCCTTATAGTATCCCATAGAACTATCACTCTGATAAACATGTTTTGGGAAATGTGAATCTAGATAACATCAACATTCTTTTAGTCAAATTAGTCTCTTTTCCATTTTCCCACAGTTCACTATGACCTGAAAATAGAAGAAAAATAACCCCAACTGACATAGTAGCTTATTAAAATAATAATCTACTTCACAAATAATTACATTTAAAAGCCACATAGTTCCTTCCCTTGAGAAATGCCTGTAAGCCAGGTGGCTCAATTGTGAGACGTTCCTGCACTGTGTATCTTGTATTCAGATTGTCAGCGTTTTAACCTATCTTACACCAAACAAGCAGCAAGTGGAGAATTTATTATTATAACCAGTTGCTCTAAAGAAAACAAAATGTAGTAGTGCACACTACGAAAGCCTCCAAATGGCAGATACTGCACTCCAGATAGAAAACAGAGAGAGTCCTTAGAGTGACTTACATTTAAAGCCAGGATGGAGCCAAGAAGACTGACTTCTCTCCATTCCCAACAGGAGGATATCCCTGCTCCTGACCTGCACGCTCTATTTCGGCAGCAGCTCTCCAGTTGGCCCATGAGCTGCCCCCTTGGAAGGCGCTTTTAAATCACCATCTATGTGCACCCTTCAATTAATCCCCAGACTAGGATTTCAGAGTTGGAAGGGCTTTACTTCAATACAAGCCTCCCTTTTGTAGATGAGAAAACTGAGGCGTAGAGGGAAAAAAAATCACTTGATCGTAGACTAAAACCCAGATCCCCTCACTTCCTGCTTGATACATTTATCTCTCACCCACTCAGAAGCTCAGAGCCCCATGGATGACCTAAGGTCCAGAAGACCTTCCAGAAGCTTCTGTTCTGGCTCATGAGAGCCAAGGCTCCAGCTGCAGCCACAACTTCATTGTTACCTCTTTCAAATGCTCTTGTGCCTTAAGACAGGCAGCAGCCCAGTAATGCATGTTCTAGTTTACTTTCAGAAGCAAATCACATGCTGGGGGAAGGACACCTTTAGTCAGAAGAAAAGATCTTGAAATATTCAAATGTAAGGAATTTTGTCTTACTTTTTATTACATCTCAATAGGTTGCACAGTGCCTAGCACATAAAAAGTCCTCAAAAAACATTGTTGGGGCTGCTTGATGAACTGAAGGCAGAGTCTTATACACCTTTAAGAAGCATTTAAGTCTACCTCACTACTTAAACGAAAGCTTAATCCCTTTCCATAAAATCAATACAAAGTCTCCTTAACCAAGTTTGCGCCACTTAATTTTTCTATCTGTTTTTGGAGGGGCCTGACCAGCATCTTTACTGTTGCTATAGTTACTGTGGCCAATAAAATGCATGCAAAGAAACAGTTCCACTCAGGAGAGAGAAAATGTCAGTTTATGACTGACACCTGAGAAACAAGATCGGCTCTTTCTCTTGTTTAGTATTACCAAGTCTCAATCTTCTCATCTGTAAAATGGTTTCAAAGATAGTAACATCCTCATTAGTTTGTTGGGATAATTAATTCACTGTGAATACACAGCAATTTGGGTAACTACAATTGCTTTTTAATGACTGCTTATATTGGAAAGAATTATGAAACTGGGGGATAAGACTTATCTTGGGATCAGTTGCTTGTATCTGCCATGGGTGTCAATGAAAAGGGTACAACAAACACATCACGTTTGCTGTAGATGTAGGTGCACTGCCATGATGCCCCCTCAGAACCAAGACCCTCAGTCTCCAAATGCCAGGGATGTGCTTTCCCTGAGAGCTGCCTTATCTAAGATTACAACCCTCCTGTGGCGTTGCCTACCTCCATTGACTCGATTAGGGTCAATGGCCCTCCAAATGGCCATTGCAACTGATAGGGACTGCTAAGGCCTTTGCTGCACCTACATTACAGTCTGACTTTTCCCTGGGCCTAATTCTGCTTCCCTCCCTTCCTGAGAGCACCCTCAATAAACTTCTTGCATGTTCATCTCAGAGTCTCAATTTCCCAGGGAACACAACCAAAGACATTATCCTTGGCCTCCTTCATTGCTCAGTAAAAAGCAGCTATCATTCTTTTGGTTGAATTTTCTAAGCAATCCACACTTGTTTTCCATTACAAGAGACTTCCTGACTCTCTTTATGGGTGACATCCTTTTACAGATAGAGAAAAGTGGCAGATATAAATAACTTAAGCTAATTTTTATGTATCATCTAAAGAGTCCTAAACTCTGTAGTCTGTTCTCACAGCAATTTTATCCATCATCAATTTACTATTTCTTTAGTTACTTTAGTTTTAAAGACATAAGATAGGCACAGGAAATGATAGAATATCCTGTTATAAAATATGCATAAAGCTTAGTTTATTCCCAATAAGTAACTAACTTTATGTTATTTTAGATGCGCAGTCTAATATCCAATGCTAAGGGGCACAGGTCTCAGCTATAGGTTTGAAGATTTTAACCATTCAAATCCTGCTGAAGGTAGTCATACCTTATGGAACCAGTGGGCTGCACAAATGGCACTGGGCAAAGATGCAGAAGGCCTGGGATCTGGTCTTCCCTCTGCCAATAATTCCCTCTAGGATCATAGGCAGGGCATTTGCCTTTACTGGGCCCTGCTTCCTTCATCAGCAAAACAAGGAGCTTGTATTAAATGAAGTCTAAGAGTCTTTCTAGTAAGAAAAACTTACTAGTGCTTAAACCTTGTAGGGCCTTCTCCAGGTAACATAAATAAGATATAGAGGGAAAGTGTAATAGCAGAAAAGAAATTAAAAGCGTCATAAATTCAAGTTACCAACTTCCCAAATGTGTATTACAGGAGAGACGATTAAGTGAACAGGAACAGACTTAATAGTTGTATTTTCCTTTTGCAAGACTTCTATCTAAATCATTGCCTATGTCATTGATTGTCATTTCCTTAATTTGGAGTGTTTGAATATATAGCTTGGCAATGCTTTGGACAAGCCATAAGTCAAAGTTAACATTTTTAAAAGTTAACCATGCCCAGGTCTCTGACTTGGGCAGTCATGTACTAAAATACCAGCATCTATTTGAGCTGCTGGAAAGAGGTTACTGATGTCAGCATGTCATGCACTGTGATTTGCAGGTGCCCTCCACCTCCAACTAACCTCTGGTAGTGATAACTCAGGGTAAACCTGAGGTAATTACCTTGGCCAAGGAAAGCTGGTTTAACTGAACTGCCCCTTTTGATGCATGTTGAACATGATTGCCCCCAGGGATTACGCAAGTCTGGTGTGTGAGTTATTACATAAATTCTACCTTGGAAAAAGTAAGAAGGTGCGTTGTCAGAATTTTTTTCCTCTCCCTGTCCCTTTGCTTTCAGTGTGTGGGTTCTTCAGCAATACCTTCACCGTATCTACTTTGAAAATGACACTGCACTTGCTATGGAGTGAAATAGAACAGAAGAAGATATAAATGCTCACAAACACACACCTCAGAGGTCTCACTTCCCAGTGGCTTTTGAAGCATGATTTCTGGTTCAGAATCTTTTGCCTGAGGAAGCATTTTTTTTTTTCACTGTACGAAAGCTGAGGCTTAGTCTAATCTTCACAGGAAGAACTCTCAGGCTTTGGTACCTCCTTAAGGCTTTATCTTCAATGAGACCCACAACTGCAGACCAGTCACTGGATAACTGTCTGAGTCTCAGTTTCCTCATCTATAAAACGAAGAGAGAGAAACTGGTCCTAATAATCCTCAAGGCCAGAAATAGTATCCAGCATGAAGATCACCCCATGAAAGCATTTTAGAAAGCTTACATGGGCTGTTGTTTCATTATTGACTCAACTAATCATCAGCAGTGGTTTTAATAAACATGCAAAAATGGGGTCTCCAGTTTATAGTCCAAGTTTCACCTCAAAATAAGCCCAGAGACCAGAGTTAGGGGTAAACAGAGGCAAGGCCTACTTTACAAACCCAGCCCTCCTCTCTCCCTGGTACTGAGCATAGCATTTCTTTGAGGAAAGGATCCGTATCTGCTTCTAGTTCTCACTGGAGCTCACCAGAAGATGAACACTTATTGATTTTCCCTTATTGATCTCTATTTCAGGGACCAAAAGGCACAAAATATGATAACATCTAAAAAATAATGTGAGCTTCCTTAGAAAACCCCCTCAAAATAAATAAGAGATTACCATATCATTCAAGATTTATTTTTCAAACTCCCCCCACCCCAAGGTTTGTCATTTCCAACTCTACTCCCATAATAACAATGATTCCATTTGAGAAATATGTTGCATTTCATTCAGCAGGATCTTCAGCCTTCAGCAAACAAACCTTCACTTTGCCAAAGACTGTCGAAGAGCCACTAATGGAGTGAAACCTGAAAACCCTTCAGAAAAGAATAATGAACTCTACTCTGTCTTCAGGGGGTAATTTAGTAGGTAGATTAAGCAACACTTGATTAAGGGTAAACCTCTCTTTTCCATAGAAATATATTGTGTTTGTATAGAAGGGCTATATGAAGTGGAGGATTAGGTCAGAAATCCCCAGGAAAAAGCAGAAGACGTTTCTCAGAAGAAATATGCAAGTTACTGCACATTTGGAAAAACAAGTCATACTTTATTGGGAGGAAAGAAGAAAAACTCCACATACAACAGTTTTATTTACATGATTTCACTTGGCTTCTTGGAACATTTCTAACAAATGGTTAGCTCCCAAATACATTGCACAGGATGTCTTGTCACCCCTGACAGTCTATGAATTACTACAAAGAGTAATGACTTCAACTCAAGGCTACCAGAAACTGATTGTCAAATAAGATTTTCTGAGACTGCCTATAGGGACCTGCTACAACAAAAGTCGTTTTTTTGGCTCGTGGGGGATTATAGTGTGAAAGAAAAACAAATGTCAAAATAAATCCCCAAGGAAAGAAAGCACTTCTGTGCCGACCCTCATTCCTACTCATCAACATTCCTTGCCCTCTGCAGCCTAACAAATACTTGAGTATTTCTCTTCGTCTGAAACCATGAACAGAGTCTGAAAAAATTAGATAAGGGTCAGTTCACATTTCAACAATGTGATAGGATTTATCCATAACTTAATGGAACTTTCCAATCTCTACCTATCAAGGCAGAAAACTGAAAAACAAATTAAAAAAAAAACACTTCACAGTGTTAAAAACAAATCATGAAGTTAAATTCTAATGAAAATTTAAACAAATGTGGATTGTCTTTTAAACCTAGGCTAGGATGACCTTTCTCATCTTTTCCATATGTTGAAAATGATGGCTGAAATGGAGCCTTCCTAAATCACTCTACACCATGCCTACCAAACAGCCATGAAAAACTAGGAACTAAATAAACTCATTTTGACAATGATGAATCTCTTAACTCTGCTGGTCAGGTTTCTTCTAATGGCAGTACTTAGGTAAGTGTACCATAACACATGAACATAGATCATAGTTAGAGTAACAATTTTAAGCCCAGGGAATTGAAAAAGAAATGAATTTTAACTTGGTGACTTGGAGAGATGAACATATAGATATGAAGTAAAAAATGCTGTTTAAGATATACACGTCCTTCTGCAAAGAAACAACTTAGCAAACCTTGGAAAATCCATAATGAACTATATGTTTTGCTGAAAGCTATGCATTTTTGAGGTTTATGTTGTTTGCTATACTTCCTCTGTTAGCTGATTCCAACTCTAATTGGAGGAGCAAAGTAAAGGAAGTCCCCTTGGAAAAAAGATATTGGCTTCACAGGGTTGTACAAATTAAAAATAAAATTGTCTTTCTGGCTTTTTTTAGAACTGTATTAAAAGGATAAGAATAAATGAGAACATTCATTTGCTTTTTAAAATGATCACACTTGGGTTTAACCACGGGCAGAGAAGAAACTTTACAGTTCCCTGGGAACCTATAATTTGGAAACGGAAGCACACAAGAACAGACTTTAGTTTTCAGGCAATAAATTGAAGAGAATTCTGCAGACATATAACAGAAAAGGAGCATAAAACATTGGCTTTTGCATTTGTTAGAAAGTTAGTTTATTAACTCGATAAGCTACACATGGAAAAATGCAGCCAAAATCTACAAGGATATCCACTGGGGTTTCAAATTGGCATATTTACTCAGCGAGAAATGACTAGAGGTTAAAAAAAAAAAAGTGGGGGGAATCCCATTCTGGAAACGACGATTTAGTGTGAATCTCTGGAAAGACATCTTGTTGAAAAACCTCCATGTGGGCTCTGATGGGACACACAGAAGCCCCAAGCCCCAAGGTCAGACATAAATATGATGCTCCATAATCTGTGTTCTGGGGAAAAGCTCTAAAGAATTATACAAGAAAATCACGATCTTTCACATCCACCATTCACACACAATTCAACATTAACTTTAAGAATGTTTTAATTTTCCTCCTTATTGCCCAAAATCTTTTTTAATGCTTTATTGGGAATTTTCATCTACTGGTGTGAGTTCTATATCTGTATTACTCATCAGTATAAAACAGTTGCAAAGAATTTGTAGGTTGATACTCCCAATGGTCACTGTCTTCTATGATTAAAAGCTCATTATCAGTCTCTCTGGGAGAAAACTCCAGTAACTGAAGTTCACATATGTCAGGTACTGTGCTAGGTTCTTTCATAAACCTTATTTTGTTCAACCCACCCAGGGAGGCAAATATTGCAATCCCCATTTCCATATGAAGAAAGTAAGGGTCAGAGAGATTCTCTGTTGTACTCAAGGCCCTGAGCTAATAACAAGGGCCAGCATTTGAACACTGGCCAGTTCAACTCCACGGGTCTGTATCCTTCTCTTTCTGTTCTCCTTGTCAATGCTCCAAAAAAATGATTTAAGAAGCTAAATCAAGAACACTCCCTATTCCCGTAGATTGTAGGTGATTTCTATGAGAAACAATAATTCGAGGTATTTTCAAACAAAATGAGGACTCAGGACAAATACTAAATTGCCATCTCTTTTTGGTGGGTCAAGTTCAGTTAACTAGGGTGTACTCTTAGTCACTTTATTTATAGCATGTAGACCCCACAGGGACGAGAGTACCAGGCTATGCAGCAGAGGCCACAAGCCAATGGACAACTCATGTGCACGTGTGCTTTACAGGATCCTACAGCGTTTAAAAAATTCAACTAACTTTCTAAAACACATACGTTTCACATAAAAATTCCCATTTTATGGATTATCTTGGATAATCGTAAGCCCCACCATGCCAGGCCCACCTTTACAGCAATGTTCAACCAGGGCTTAGTGGCCACTACTTCCTCAGATGAGTAAGGGTTCTTGAGTTCCTAATGGTTCCCCACTACCCTAAATTATATCCATATGCTAAGGCCACCCACAGCTGAAATTTTTCATTATGCATATGCTATTTTTCTTATAATAGAGAAATACTTCTCCAGGGCTTGTCTCTTTTGATAGACTGAGTGATGGGCCTAAATTCTTCACTTCTCCTTGTAGCTACTCCTGTACCATGTTGTCTTTGTGAGTAGAGTGTACTTTTCCAATCTGTGACTTGGCCATGTGCTTTGCTTTGGCCAATGCAAAGAGTGAAAATCACAATACCAGTTCAAGGCTAGGCCTTACGAGGCCTTGCATATGTTTGCTTATTCTCTCGTGCCTCAGCAACTGTCATTAGAGGAGTTTTCCCTGGGTTGCTGACACCTCTGCAGCCTGACCCTCAGAATGCACATGTGTAACAGAGCTGTACCAGTCACCATCACGGATGTACAGTAAGTAGAAGTTTCCAGCCAAGCCCACCCTAGACCAGCTGTGCCAGTCAGTCAACCTGCAAATCTGTAAGAATAAACTATTGGTACTACAAAGCCACTGCATTTTGGGGAAATTTGTTGCACAGAACAACATTAGTATGGCAATTGCTAACTATGCATCTCTACCAAAAATAAACAATAAAAAAACAGGCAGAAAGAACCAGACATTCATTATTTTTCCTACACACAAGGCTGTTTCTTATGTTAAAAGCCTAAACCCTGAAGGCATTTGAATTTGTAATCTCTGTCAGAAAACTATAAATTTAAGAAATAAAGAAGACTGGACTTGTAAAATGCTTCATACTATGCTATATATCTAGGTTTGACTGAGGTAACATGGGTTTTGTCTATTGCCTCTGGTGCTCTGGTTTGAACAATAAAAATCATAGTCACTCTATCTTCATTCAACTTTGTTTCCAACTTTCATACCAGTTGGCTGAATCCCTTGGCGCTCTTCTTTGAAGCCTGATCTACTAGCTATTATTGTTGTAGGCAATACTCTACATTAGATTTTTCTGGATATAACACATATTGGGTTGGTTGAAATCATGAAGCCAGTGTATCCAACTGTTACCAAATGCTAGCGTGAAATAAATCAAAATTAGCAGGTGCCAATGACACAACCACCAACCAGCCAAGCCAAATCCTGGTTGACTGACACTTAAAAGGCTTAACAGGCTAACTTATAAACAGGAAATGCTCAAAACAACAGCAATATTAAAAAATTCAAGTGCCTTCAGAAAGTTTCGTTTTCAGAAGGCAGTAGTTACTACATCTGAGCACATCTGCTCAACAATCCAGGAAAGTGGGAGGTTTACTCTCTATTAACCTTAACCAGAGACATTTTCATCAAAATTAATCGTGATTACTTTTTATTGCATTTCAAATGCTATCCTTTATTTGGGGTGGTCAGGAATGCAACTAAGCAATTCCAGACCATGCTATCTTTTATGAGTAGGGCTGTGAAGTAGTTATCAAGGCCCCTTATGAAAATATTTCTATACAAAAGTTCATGGGCCAAAACAAGACATTAATTTCCATAACTAAATGTGTCCTTAGAAAAGAAAAAATTACTACATATACAAAAGACAAAAACTTTGATGCTCAATGCATATCGGATTAGAACTGTAGAAATACCTCTGCATATAGCAGACAAATCGTTTTTAATGTTTCATTTGCCTTTTCCTCGTTATTATAACAACTGTTAGTCATGAACACTTATTTTGGGCATAGTCTGTGCCAAGTACAATTCTAAATTATTTATATGCCTTGACTCTTTAACTCCCACAACTCCTCTGGAGCAGATGCAATTATTATTCTTGTTTTATAGAATAACACACCATAGCAAGGTGGGCCCTAGGGTCAGGTCATCTTTTAAGTTTTGGGCCCACCTACTATTGTCTCACAACTCAGTGAACACTCCAAATCAAGCATCAGTGTCAAGGGGCTTCAGTGACACCAGAAAACATGTCTAGGACACAGAGAGAGAGAAAAAAACCCAAATATTAACTAGTCTCCATGTGCCATGCTTTATGCAAGGTATTTTCCTGTATTTCCTACTCTGGAATAATTACTGATTTCTCTTATGGCCAATTAAAAAGATGAATTATGAGTACATATTAAAATTATCTAACTTCTCCTATCTCCAAGAAGGAAACCTAATATATAACTAGAGAAAAACACTAATTAATAACCAAAATTTAACATGAACTCCAGCCAGCTTGAACTGCTCTGTTTAAAGGCACACTGGAATAAATAAAGAAACTTCAAAGCAAATGCCCTGTTTTAGCTTGAATGTTTTATTAAGTACATGGGGAGCACTCCTTCGCCAAAAATAAGGAAGGTTAATGAGGAAAAAGTGGTGTTTCCAGTGAGTTGGTTTGTTTCTAAGATAGAGCTGTCCATTGAAAGATAACTGTATTCATGGAGAAGACAGAATAATGATCTGTGTCTGAGCCTCACAGTCTTGAACAAAACAAAACTGGTTTTGTAAACAGTCTGGGATCAGCTGAATGTATCCTCACCCAAATATCTTCTTTGATAATCCACACACATTTGCCTTCTTCTATTTCCAAAACAATTTAAATATAAATTGTAAAGGAAGACAGTTCTATGTTTTAAGTTTCTTGCCAATGATATAAATACAGCCCTTGCCTTTTTAAGGTGAGGTACAGGAACCAAAAGACTCTGCACTGTATTTCTAGGCTATGCCATAATTGGCTTTTAATTCTGAAAATGATGACCCACCCTGGGAAAGACCTACTGGGTTCCTTGGGTGTACACTGTTAGTCTTAGACCCAAGGCAAAGGCAAGTGGTATTTCTGTGTGTATTTTCTGGCAACAATGGTAACATTTCTGAGAGAGTCCATCTCTAGCTATTTAGGGATTGAGAAGAGAAGCCTGTGCTTACCTGCAAATGCTGTGAGTTGTCAGCCATGCTATCTTCTCGCCTGCGGACTTCTTCTAATAACTGAGCATTCTTCTTCTTTTCCAACTGTTGATTGTGCTTGAGGTTGGCCACCTTCTTATTCTGATCTTTCATATGCCTGAGAAAAGTCAGCACAGCTTGGTTAAATTCAACCACTGGAAGATCATATGTTATCACAAATAGACTCAGGAAGTACTAAGCATAGGATATCTGGATATGGGCTCAGGAAAAAGATACTTCTGAATAAGCCACTCATTCAATTACAAGTATGTATTGAGCATCCACTTAATGCCAGGTGCCAGGACGGCACTTGGGCTGCAGTGGTGAATGAGACAGGAATAATCTTCACTCTCATGGAGCTTGAGGCCAGTAGGCAAGACGGACAAGTACCAAGGAGACACAACTTAGGTTTCTTAACATTGAAGGAAACAAATAGCATGCTGTGAGAGACAGTGACATGCGTGTGTGGACAGGTTGTGAAGTGGAAGTATATGTCTTTATATGCTGTGGCCAAAGAAAGCCTCCCTAGCAAAGTGAGAGCTAACCAAGAGAAACACCAGTGGTGGAGCTCCCAGGCAAAGAGAACAACTTGTTTAATTCCCAAGGCAGGAAAGAAAAAACTGGAAGGCTTCAGTGAGGCTAATCCAGGGGAGGGTGAATGTGGATGGAAGACGGGACTGCACAGGTAGGCAGGGCCGAGGCACATAGGACCTCTGGTCCATGATAGGGCATTAATTTTCTTCTAAGTGGTTGCTGTTCTAATTATTATTATTATTCTTTTGGATCATGTTCTTTTTCTGAGATCATAATCCATTACTTTGATTTTAAAATAACAATTACAAGGCTCCAATCAAATACATTGTCATCACTTAGCTCAAACACAATAACAGTTTGGCTAATCTTAATGTTAAATAAGGCTCTGGGGCTTGGAGTAAAAGTTCTTAATGAGTCTACAGGATGTCAAAGTGCAAAATCATAAGGTGATCAAGTAAGTAAAAGACTAAGGATAAAGAATGGGTTAAAGAAAACAACAATGGGAATTACAAGCTTAATGTAGACTATTGCACCAGAAGCGTTTAGCAAAACATTCCACAGATTTAGGCAACCATGTCCACAGCAGCTATAATAAATCTAATCCAACACACGAGGAGGTAGGAGGGCAGTACGGAGGGCTTGGGAGCAGTGACCACAAGAGGAGGGACGAGTAGCAGAATCATTTGGGGTCCCTTTGGGATCCCTTTCCCCCACACCACAGCATTGCCATGTTAGCCACTGTTACTGAGCCCTGACTCAGTAACAAACATACTGAGAAACACAGCTCTTTTGAAAATGTAAACAAGATGAGAACTAGATGATAAACAGCAAACGTGAAATTGAAGCAATTAAAATAAAATGAAAACTGCTCTCCGCAAGAAATTTTATTTCTAGTCCTCATAAATTATGTACTCCCCTACTCTCTCCCATTCCAAGCAAATGAAGCACAAGAGCATTGTTTACTTAGTTGAATCATCTAGCACTAACAGTATACTCCCTGCTAATAAAAATAGTTCGAGGGTGCAGCGGCTCATGCCTCTAGTCCCAGCTACTCAGGAGGCTGAGGCAGGAGGACTATTTGTACCCAGGAGTTAGAGTCCAGCCTGTGAAATATAGTGAGGCCTCATCTCTAAAACACACACTATACACATACACTATATATATATACACACACATAAATATATATGCATATACATATATATATATTCTGAACACTTTGGTTTCTTATATTTCCACTAACTGAGGCCATGATTTAAATATTATTGCACTTAATAGGAGGATATAAAGTATGATAGAATAACCATCTTGTTAGTCTTTAAATTACATAATTTTTGTCTGATATTTCCCCATTTTTACCTGATACAGTAATGTATACACATGAAGCCACCAAGTCAAACTTGCATATCCACGTTGAGGAAATTATCTTGTGGTTACTATAAAGATGGTAAGAATGACCTCTTGCTTTCTAGTTGAATGAGGAGACCATATTTCCAAAGCCCATACTAACCTAGGGCAGGCACATTTTCCAGTTCCTTAGGAAATAAGGGCAGAGCTCAGTAACAGAATGTAATGGAGAGGTCAGTATGATTAGTGTGATTGTTTAATTAGTGGGCATTTTTATAAGGAAACAATTTTATTACTTTACACTGTTAAATAGAACCAACTGATTTAAGTTCCCTGCACCAAGTATGGGTGACAAATACAGATTATTATTACAAACATCTTTTACATAGTGAAAGGACTCCCGCAACGTTCTTGGAACAGTCTGAACACAGAGACCTTATTTTCAGGGATACTGCAATGTTTTTCTCAATCCCAAACAAAAAAGGAAATTCCAAACCCACACGTCCCTTAAAGCTTCCTGCATTAAGAATAAGTGGCTAAGAAAAATGGGGAACTGAAGTTTTGACATTGTGCTGGAGGCCTTTCTCCAGCCATTCCTTCAAACACTCCCTTATTTAAGACCACCAGTGATTGAAAAAGAAAAGTTGGATTTTGAAAGGCCCTGCTTAGGATTTGAGCCAATTAGAAAGATGCAGAGCAAGGTGATGAGAATGATCATCTTGTCTTTGTACATGGAACAAAGACAACATATAAAACATGGAACAAAGGCTACATATAAAGTGTGCACACTCCCCTGAAGTAGTGCCATGGTTTTCAAAGATATTTCTAGCAGTTGAAAGCTTTCTGCTACCTAATGCTTACTTGAAAGTCAAAAAGGAAAAGAAGAATTGCTCTGGCACAGGTAGGAAAGAAGTAAGGAGTGGAGTGGAACAGGTAAGCAGAGCTTCACTACCAGACAACTCCTCTCTCAAGTGCTTCTCAGGGAAGCCCTAAGGCTTCCTGAAACACAGGTTAAAATGGCAATTTATGAGTGAGGCAGGCAGAGGAGTCATGAAAATGATTAGATCTCTAAGAGAAGAGAACATGCCCCCACAGATGCTCAGTGAAAAAATGACCACAGTAATTTTTGCTAGCAACAACTATAGGATTTGTAAGAATAAAATCTATAAGTGACCTATCAGTCACCACATCTTCCCCTACCTGCAGAAGTACACCCACACTGATTAGGAACAGCTTTCAAATGTCTCCAAAATCTAAAAGGTAAGACCCCTGGTTGTGAAGACTGTTATACCTTCTTGCTATCCTGCCCCAGAAGTAAGTATCACCATCTACCAAACCCCCAACCACTTGGCAAGGCTCTGCCAGAAACTGAGCTGCTCTATGATTTTAAAAAAAAAAGTTTCTTTGGGGTGAATTTTTTCTCCAGAAAAACCAGCATGAAAAATATATGCAAAATGCAAATTTTAAAAAGATAAAAACAATTATGGCAAAAGAAGTACTTGGAAAATATAGCAGTAAGTTTAGTTTTCAATGTTTAACTTAAATTTACTAGTTTCATAAAACAAGGCATGTCATTTTTCAAAAGTCAGTCACCATCAAGGAATTTGCATTAAATAAAAAATTTCCAACAGGTGTCAAGGTCAACGATGACTACCATATTAAGAAAGCATGTCAGAGAGAACAGAATCCTGCCATTTTCACTAGAATAATCTGTCAAATTCTAAGAATAAAATGTTCTCTAACTTGCTGGTGAGAACGTGTCAGACTCTGAGACCTCTAGAATTACATAGCTAGGATAGCAGGACAGGAGAATCATATGCTTGTCCAAGTGCATGTGCCCGAATATTTGCAAAACAAGGAGAAAAATCAAAATTTCTTTTAAAATCTCAGTAGAAACAAAAACATGTCACTTTTTTACCCATCTGCTTTTAAAAACCTTTAAAGATTGGTAATATTCATTGTTGGAAAGGATGCAGGAATCTAGCTCTCATATTGATCAGGAAAAGCATAGTTAAAAAAAGTATTTTTGGAAATCAATTTGGCAATTTCCACCAAAGCATACATTCCTTTTGCCCAAGCAAACCCTTCTTCAAGGAAAATAGCCTACAAAAGTGCTTGTACAAGTGCAAAAATATGTATGCATATATATACACAAACATTTCCATTACGACTGTAAAAGTAAAAATTTGAAAATTGCCTAATCATCCATCAGAAGGAAACTGAAGAAATTAAGTATATTCACAATATAAAATTAGGCTAGCTAAAAAGATTAAGGCAAAATGCAGTATGGACATGGACCACAGCACATTCACTATTACTCAAAAAAGAAAGCAGGTAGTAGAAATACAAGTAAGACAAATAGTCTGATCTTATTTAAGTTAAAATATGAATACTTATTTGGATGTATATAGACACACATGCAGGTAAATGGAAACTCCTGGAAACTCCACACCAGTCCATAAAAACAGTGGTCATACGGAAGAAGAGAATAGGTTTGGGAGGAAATGAGATCTTCAACTTATACTGTATGGGTGTGTATGTGTGTGTAAGTGGAGTATAAATACATACAAGAAGATGCATAAATATTAAGTGTACAAGTCAAAGGTTTTTGACAAATCAAAATAAAGAGCATGCTATCACTCAGCCTCATGGCCCTCCCCTCTTACCAGAAGTGAGTACTACTCTAATCTTTATCTAGATGGATTTGTTTTGCTTGCTCTTGAACTTTATATACATAGAATCATGTGGTACCTATACTTTTGTATCTGACTTCTTTCACTTGGCATAAAGGTTTAAGATTTATTTATATTGTTGTGTGTATTAGGTCATTGCTTCTCATTGCTGAGTACTATTCCATTATATAAATACACTATAGTTTGAGTAGCTATTTCCTTGTTAATGGATATTTGAACTGTTTCATTTTCTTTTACTGTTAAGGATAAAGTTGCAATGAACGTTCTTATGCCAGTCTTTTTGTGGATATATGCATTCATTTCTCTTGGACAAATAAGTGGATATATGTTTAACTGCAAGTGTAAAATGGTAGAATCCCACAAAAGACTATCTCTTGGCCATATGAATCTTCTAGGGACAGCAGTAGCTAGTAGCATAAACCTTGGAATCAGACTGCCTGGGCTTCCAATAGAAGTCTGCCATTTCTAGCTGACTTAGGAAGTTTGGCCACGGACAAACTTCCTAACCTAACCTTTGTGCCTCAGCTTCTTCACATATAAAACAAAA